GGTGCTATATAGCAGGGGGAGAGGTGGGGACAGGCTGCGGTGACAGGCGACGCTGACGGGCCCCAGGAGCTGCCGGGTCCTGCCCAAACTTGGAGCGGGAGGTGAGGGAGATGGGCTCTTTCCCAGCTGTCCAGACCGTCCGCGGCGCCTGCTGACTTCGGAAACTTTTTTCTTTTATTAATTGACCCTGGAGGATCTGCAACGCCAGGAAAAACTTTTGGGAAGCCACAGCCTGGAGGAGCAATTTGGGCCTTGGTGTTTTTGAAGGCTTCAGTCCAGTAACCTGCTTTTATTGAAGTGCGTGTTAGTTAAATGTCGGGATCAGAGCGCAGCTTGGCTTGATGGCCAGACTCACCCGAGGGAGTACGCCAGCGACCCTGTCGTACGGGAGGCTGCAAACGGAAGGGGCACAAACTGATATATATATTTTTTTAAATTGCCAGGCAGGCTAAAATTTGCATCTTTTTTCCCCCCCTCTCCTCTCCAGATGGAGGATCCCATCCAGCTGAAAGAGGAGGGCAATAAATATTTTCAGGCCAGCGATTATGAGAAAGCCATTCAAAGCTACACTCAGGCCATAAAGCTCAACAAGGACAAGGCGCTGCAGGCGGTGCTGTACAGGAACAGGGCGGCGTGTTTCCTGAAAAAGGTGAGAGAGGGGCTCCCGGCTTGCCCGGGTGGTGCTGGCCTGGGGCAGGAGGGGAGCGAGAGCCGGGATGCAGGAGCAGGGCGGCAGCCGAGGATGCTCGGCAGCGATCAGCTGTGCTGTTAATAAAACCCTGAGAGATGGGGACCAGCAGCCGGAGGTCGTGGGGGGCCTGGGGGAGGAGGGGAGCGAGAGCCGGGATGCAGGAGCAGGGCGGCAGCCGAGGATGCTCGGCAGCGATCAGCTGTGCTGTTAATAAAACCCTGAGAGATGGGGACCAGCAGCCGGAGGTCGTGGGGGTTGCTGGAGCACAGGCAATGGTTTACGGAGCACGGGCTCAAATCTGTTCCTCCCTTTGCTGTGCGAGCCTGGCATCCCCACGGCCAGCCGGCCTCGCGCAGGCGCTCCCTGGAGATTTCCAGGCGGTGGCGGCACTGTGTGAATAGCAAGAGAAAATAGGTGCTTTTCCAAGTTGCGTCTCAGCAGGAGCAAAGCTCACGCTGCGCAGGATGTGTCCCCCTCAGATGCTGCTGGGGGCAGAGGAGACTCCATGGTTTGGGTGCAGAGGCTTCTCTCCCGCTTGCCTTTTCCAGCATAAGAGAAGCAGGCATGGATCTTAGCGCAAAAAGAAAAGTTATTAGAATCTGTAGCAAAACCACCTCAGCTCCCTGAAGACCTGCCATGGGATTTCAGATCGCTTACGTGTTCCTGAAAAAGCGTGTTACTTTTCGTTTCTCGTGGCGTCTGATTAGTAAGTGGGAATAGAGAGGTCACGGTGTGCATCGGTAACGTGGATATATCCTGCTAATCGACTGCCCTGCTAACGAATCGTCCTTCCTTCCTGACTCGACAGGAGGAATACGTCAAGGCAGCCTCGGATGCGTCTCGAGGTAAGGAGGAGGCTGCTTGCAAGAAGTGAGCTGTGCTTGTGGGTATGCTCCCTCCAGCCTGCTCTCGCATCTCCTTTTGGGGCCCTGTGGTCTTCCTGCTTCAAATCCACTAACGCCCAAGTGCTTAGCTTGGTTTTGAGGCTACAGGGAAATTAATAGAGAAGATGCAAAGGATAACGTGCTTACACTAGCTGCAACACACGCTGTCTTTACAGCTTGGCATTAGCACGTAATTCAGCTGCTGATTTGCTTGCTTACAATGTTAACACTGACCCAATCACACAGTATTCACAAAGAACTGAATAAAGAGCTGCTTCCTTCCAAATTCAAGGATAAACGTTGCTGTTCTCAAATCCCTCCCCTCCTCCACCCAACAAGGCTGGTGCAGGATGCTGGGGTGAGGGGAAAGCAGCAAGCAGCATTGCCGCTCACACACACCCACAGCAACACAAAAATAGTCTCAGTGAAAGCTGCTAGTGTTAGATCTTGCTGAGCTCATTTTGGTGGATCTGTGAGTGAACTTCGAGAGGAAAAAGGAGGAAAAGTGAGCCAGATGCACATGGAGGGCTTGGGGGCTTGTAAACCCAATATTGTTCCCTCTTAGTGTCATGGTAGAGAGATGCAGTGATTTGAACGTTGCTAATGACCTC